CGTAGTGTAACCACTGTCATAGTTGAGGAGTTAGAAAGATAATAGAGGGAGAATGTAATGTATATCTGTAACAACGATAAACAATTGCTGAAAAAAAACCATTCTGATAGTGTTGCTTTGTCAACAATATACATGCCATTTTATGGTAAAATATATTAAATTACATAGGCATTAAATATTTTGTTTAATAATTTTTAGTTTAATATTGTACCTATTTTCCCGATTTTTTTTTCGGTTATCCCGGTTTCCTCATGGTTTTTTTTAAATTTTTTTGTATATTTTGGGAAAACTCCTAAAAAAACAACAAACAACTTCAAAGTACCTCCTCAGTAAGATTTCTTTTTAGAAAAAGTGCTATCATTGTAAATCGGACCAAGATTGTAAACTATTTTGTAANCATACAAGCGCGACCCTGAGGGGTTAGAGAAGGACGATTGTTGAACAATTTATAGGTATGTTAATTGTTTGAGTTTTGTACGTAATTCTAATACTAGCTTATCACATAAATATTCATCGAATTGAAAACATTAGTATAGAAAAATTATTGACCAAATTGTTGTAAAACTCTATTGAAACTAAATGCGTTGTGGCTGCAACAACCTCAGCCCTCCCCACTGATACTGCTGCTGTATAGGTACCAGAAATCAGCATGTGGGTATAAATTATAAACTATAATTTAAACTTCTTATACTATTATACATAATTATGTTAGTGTGTGTAAGTCATGGCTAGTGGCGTAGCTATCTCTAATTATATTATAAAAAGAATGTTTATGTTTGTAAGAACGGCTAATAACTGTTAATAATTGAATAATGCATCTGTATTGTTTTATTTCATACCTATCATCACTAAAACAATTAATTAAAAATATTATAATGTTCTTCAGGAGTTTGACGATTTAAATGCCATAACATTAACTGTAAATATGACTTTAATAGTACATGTTCTGTATCAACAATTAATTCTGAGTACAAGTTCGAAACTCTTTCATAGGTATTTTAAGTTTTTCCAAAACATGGAGCACGTGAAATGAACAAAGTAATGTAAAACTTCTCGACCAAATATAGTTAATAGCATTGAATTCTGCTGAATTTTGTATNTGCCATAACATTAACTGTAAATATGACTTTAATAGTGCATGTTCTGTATCAACAATTAATTCTGAGTACAATTTCGAAACTCTTTCATAGGTATTGTTTTTCCAAAACATGGAGAACGTGAAATAAACAAAGTAATGTAAAACTTCTCGACCAAATATAGTTAATAGCATTGAATTCTGCTGAATTTTGTATGTTATGTATGATTTGTACCGAAAATATAAGGAAATCCTTGTCCACAAAAGCTTATATTAAAAACGATGATAAAGCACAGTAACACTGCAACAATGACCTACGCGATTGGTACCAGGAGAATATGATGGTCAGGTTTGCGGCAGTTAACCGACTACAGGACTGCCGTTGCTGTCGNACGACGATCGCCCGTGTTCATGAAACCCTGGTACATGATAGCACAGCATTAGCAGCAATTCTTGGGTTTTTGTCCACTGTGATGGATAAAAAATAAAAACCTTAACCTCGAAAAGTTTAATACCATCCATTTAAAACCACTTTGGTTAAATTCGGTAACTTTCGTTTGTATATAAATTGATACGGGTACACTGATAACCATAGATAATTATATATACATGGTTGTATTTAAGACGTATGATCAAATAGCATACGGGTTACATTTAATTAAGGTTTGGTATCAACGATAACGAAAACGCATTTTACTGACTATCGGTCGACTGGCGGACACCCTCCAAAAAAAATGTTTATAATAATTAGTAAATTATAAATGTATAAAAAATAATAATAGGTACAGAGATATTTTGAATTTTAACGAACAGAATACAGAAATCCTAATGCCAATGTCTATTCGTATTATTATGTAAACTAATATTAATATGATTAAGTGTTTATTTCAAGAATAATGGGTCCCACTGAGCATACTCTTGTGGAGTACTACCCATGGGGGTATGAGGATTAATCTTATAATTGTTTACATTTTTTTTTTTCTTAAAGTAATTTAATTACAAACTTAATGGTGAAGATACTCAAATATTAGGAAATACAAAAAAATAATAATCGTAGCAAATGGATTTTCTTTAAAAATAGTTGTGCTATCACATAAATTTTTTATATTTCGTTAATTTTCTAAAATAATCTATACCAATTCAAGCAAAACAAATAAGGTATATTAATTATCTATGATAAATCTTAATAACTATTCACTAATGGTTTAAATAATTTATCTTGATTAATCCATCACCAGCATGAACATATTTTAAATTTTTATATTCAAAACTATGATAAGTTAGGTAACTAGGTAACTAAGTACAGTAACAAAAACCAACGCGAGTGGTACTAGGAGAATATGATGAGGGTTAGTAATTCAGCTGTTGACCGACTGCTGGATTGCCGTTGCTGCCGTAAAACGATCCCCCGTGTTCATGAATCCCTGGTACAAGATATCACAACATTAGCAGCAATTCTTGTGTTTTTTGTTCACAGTGATGAATACAAAATAAAACCTTAACCTCGAAAAGTCTAAAACCAACCATTTAAAACCACTTTGGTTAAACTCGGTAACTTTCGTGTGTATATAAATTGATACGGGTACACTGATAACCATAAATAATAATATATACATGGTTGTATTTAAGACGTATGATCAAAAAGCATATGGGTTACATTTAATTAAGGGTAAACTATCGGTCTTCTGGCGGTTGCCGGAATGAAAAATCCGGAAAGTAATACTCTTTGTATAAATGTATATGCAACTTATAATAGACTTTGTGTTAAAATTCAGGGATTTCTAAATTTCCAATAAAAAGATTAAAAAAAAATCTATCCTAGGATTATGGAGACGGGTACAACCACTGTTGTTGGTGAGAATTTGGAAAGGTAAGATATAGTGTGGAAATTAATATGTATCTGTCAGCAAGGAAAAACCATTACTTACTAAAAATTATTCTGAACGGAGTTCAATTGATAGTGATGCTTAGTCAACAATATATATGTCATATAGTAAAATAATTAAATTGGCATTATATACTTTTTTTTAATAGTATTTGTTTAATATTGATCCGATCCTACGTTTTTCCCTGTTAGGTTAGGTCAACCTAACCTAAAAAAAACGTTCGACATACTTTTCAATTAATACCATTATTCGTTTATTTTCCTGATTTGTTTTTTACTGAGATTTTCACATTTGTTAAAAAATGACAAAAAGTACAACCTGAAGAAAATTTCCTTTAAGAAAATAGTTTACGTCATATACATCGGATTAATCTTTCTGGTTGAAAAAGTATTCGAAAAATTATTTAATATAAGAAGAATATCTCTTCTTATTAAGTGTTAAGAATTTCCCCAGCAAATGTGAAAAACCAAAAAAATTTACGAAAAATGGGAAAAATAGATACAACATTAAACAAATTTTATTAAAGAAAATATTAATGCCTTTTCAATTATTTTACTACAAATGATACATATATATTTTTTCATGCATCACAATTAATTGAACTCCTCAGAACCGTTTTTTCGTAAGCAATGGTTTATCATTGCTTACAGATATACATTAAATTTCATTTATATCCTTTCTTTTGGTGAATGAAATGATTACAGAATGCTTTATCAGTATAGCAGAAAGTTCATTACCTCAAAAAATAAATAGATACCAAAAACTTCTAAATCCATTATAATAAAATCTATGTAATATTTGTATTTTGCTGCTATATATTTAGGTTTATAATATTTATATTCTAAGTGATCCATTTAAGTGAGTAATCTTATTATCTCGAAAATACAAACTTTCTTCCAAATTTGTTTTCTAGAATATTTAAGAAACTAAGTGCTTTATAATTTTATATTTTTGTCTTCTTTACTTTTGGGGATAAAACTATTACCTTCATCTGTATTAGTTAAAATACATTTTTAGTATTAAAATTTAAAAACCAATTAAAGAAAAATGAATTCTTTCTGAGAGAATGAGCGCACTCACTTAATTGAATTATCTGGTAGTACCCATAAGGAAGACTTAATAACTTTTTTTTTTGTTGGTTTAAGTTTGAATTATGATAAACTGAGTAATGTTAAAATAATGTAGTTGAAAACAAATAATTAAAAGCTATCCAAAACGCACAGCTAATGTTAAGAAGATCATACAAATGTCGTAGTTAGTTGATAAAGGTACCTACATAATAATAATTGTTCAATAGTTTGCCAAATAATATTTAGCATGTTATATATAATGCTTATATTAATTTATAACTAAGTATTTGAGAGAACATGGAACTTTTTAAATGCATATTATATAACAGCTATCGATAAAACAACCCAGTATCTCCCAAACCAATAAACACATCTTAATCCAAATACTGCCACTTATTAATTAACCATATTACTAAATTTAAATCAACATGTATCATAACTAAACATTTCAATACACATTTGGAAAGACATTATACACTGGTATGTTCTGTTGTTGGGTCAGTCATATCTGTAAGCAATATTTGATTAAATATTATTTTTGTATAATTGAACAATCCATTTCATCACAAGATCATGCTTAAAGGAGAGTAAGTATATTCTTTCTATATTATAGGTACCTATATTTCATTTCAAATTATTATTCTCAATTTTCATTCTAACATTATTGATACACATAATACATATTTTATTTTATAATATTGTGGCATACCACTACATTACAGTTCAAATAAATAAAATGGTTTTTATAAATCTACTAATATGACAAATATTCTAAAAAATTAAATTTTAAAAGTTAATAGTTTCATTCACTAATATAAAATAAATTGGAGATATAGTTTAAAACAATTGATAAAATAGGTATAGTTAAAATGTACAAAATTATCAGTCATGTTTTTTCTTTTTTGCGTTTTAGTATTGTACTCCTATTTATTTCTGATTTATTTTCATATTCCACCATCGTCTTGCACAATGCCATATGACAAGGGAAATTGCTATCAGAATGTTCACCTGATGTTTCTATCGAAAAAGCATGAGATCCGGAAACAAGATTCTCAGGGATATCCAAAGGACCCTGTAATCTTGTTTTGATTAGCTAAAGTTTATATAATTTGAAAATTGTATAAAGAATTTTTTTTTTTAGGTAATTTTTTCCCCTAGTCTTTGACAAAATAAAAAGTCATGTTTATTAATTCATGACAAGATAGTGTGTATGTTAAAATCTTTCAAATGTTGGTATTTCCTTTTATGTCTTCTTCAAACCTTAAAAAAGAAATAGAAGGAAATATCTAAGAAAAATGTAAAAAATCCTCCAAATCTTCAACCTTAAATAACCAAAATAAAAAAATTCTTTGGGAAAAACTATAAAAGCAATTCCTAACCAAATTTTCAAAACAACATTAAAAATCAAAACTAGATTACAGAGAAACCTTTGGAAGTCCCAAAGCAGCTTGTTTCCAAAAATTGCTTCCTCAATAGACTCATACAAATGAAAGTCCCGATTTCAATTTTGCCTGTCATTTAAAAGATGGATGCAATTTGATTACAAAATGTTACGAGGCACTTAAACGCCATATGGCGTTGTGTAAGACAATTGTCGAAGATAAAACTAAATTAGAATTAGCTAATCCTTTAAGATATTTTTCTA